GGTGGTGTTGGAGGCCCTGCTGAAGGCCTTGCTACACACACTGCACGTGTAGGGCCGCTCGCCACTGTGGATGCGCTGGTGCTCAAGGAGCGCGAAGCTGCGCCGGAAGAGTTTCCCGCACTCGCCACACTCATAGGGCTTCTCACCACTGTGGATGATCTGGTGCTTGATGAGGTTGGAGCTGCGTGTGAAAGTCTTCCCGCACTCGCCGCACACATAGGGCTTCTCACCGCTGTGGATGCGCTGGTGCTCCAGGAGCGCGAAGCTGCGCCGGAAGAGTTTCCCGCACTCGCCGCACTCATAGGGTTTCTCGCCACTGTGGATGATCCGGTGCTTGATGAGGTTGGAGCTCCGGCTGAAGGATTTCCCACACTGCTGACACAGAAACTGTTTCTCTGCACCTTTGGAACCTTGCTGCCTTAGAACCAAACCCTGCCTACCTCTGCAGCTACTTCTCTGTATTTCTCTTTCCTCACCTGGGGAGCTGCCTTGGCCTTTCTCCCTGGGAGGGTCACCCCTGCTGAAAGCTGTCTGTGGACAATAAGCATGTTTCCGTCTGTGCTCAAGTGTTTCCTCTGACCGCCCGGCTACCTGGCCCTTGTTGCCACCCTGAAGGTCAGCCCCTGCGAGTTCTTCTGGACAATTTTTCTGCTTTGAAATTATAGGTTTGCTCTTCATCCTGTCACCTGTAAAGACAGAGAGCACCAACCAGTGTCACTCCCTCCGTGGGTCTCTATTTAGGTTTGTTCTTCACCCTCACCCTCACTCCAAGGCTGAGAAGAGCTGAATCAGGAGTTGAGGACGAGGGAGAAGAAGCAAGATAACCGTCAGCAGACAGGAGGGCAAGAGGGGAGGAGATGGCAATGAGCTAGAAATATCAGAGCTGGTGTGAGACAGGGGACTCCATGACAGATTTAAATCTGCCACGAAAGAGAATGTCCCACCCAAAGTGGCCATGCCACCCTCCATCAGCCGCTGCTCTTTGCCAATGGCTTAGGCAAGCTGACAAAGTGGCCCTCACTCACCTGCCTGCATCCCTGTGGTGGTCCCCATCCTGTGGACGTCTGCTACCCAGGGGCCCTCTCCTCGCTCTAGCCGGGAGACCAGGTGAGGCTTGGAGGATGAAAACCCTGTCCATGGAAAGGGAGCAGGTTAGTCACACCTGGACTCAGTCCAGCATTAATATCTTCAGGAACAGAGAATGAAGAACTCTCTAGAAAGTGCCACTGGGAAGGTCCAGAGAAACGGCAGAGTCCCTCTAAGGAAGCTAGGTGCTCTGAGTGTACAGGGGCCAGGCATGCACGGTGAATCTTAAGTAGGTGGTGATTCAGCCCAAGAGGATAATGATGTTATTATTTGGCCTGCAGGACGGGATGGCCTGTGGGAAATGGGGGATCAGTGTGGAGACCCTGAAGGACAAACAGAGGGTTGGAGCAAGGCCCCAGGGAGTATCAAGAAGCAGACAGAGCTGAAGGGCTGCCTGTGTCCCGAAAGCCAAAGCCCCCTGTTTCACCATCAAACACAGCAGATGTCTCTGTTCCTTATGCCAAACTCCACTGAGGAATCCACACCTTCCCTGGGGAACCCCAGATCTGCCTGATAAGGGTCAAAAACAACCAAGGGGAAGAAGCTAGTCTCCTTCTGTGGGGTTAGATGACTGAGGTGGACTCTGCAGAGTTTAAAAGAAGAAACAGAACAAAAGCATCCCCCTGCAACCCCGAAGGCAGGGGCGCAGTGGGGGAGCCTGCCCCAGCTCTTTCCCGATTTCTCCAAGTCCTGGGCCTCTATGTCCTGGGCTCTCTGTGACTTGATGCAAGGAACAGATGCTTGAAAACCCTAGAACATGAAACGAATGTAAAAGGCAACCTTGGTAAAAATGGAATAAGTATACACTAATGTATATAAATATTCAAGGCTAATTTGCATCTATCTTTTGGGTAGAAGAGATTTAGTTAACTCGTGATTTTATAACAAAATAAGTTTGACGGGGGCCCACGCATTTACCTAAAACACCTACAAGCCCAAACCATTTAGCTAAACACTGTGCTACTGAGGTAAAAGTTGGGCATCAATGGATTACTGACCTGATGGGGAAATGCATGTATTCTTGGACTCACAGTAACCAACTAGCAAAGAAGCTCAGAAACAAAGAGTTCAGACACAGGGTGGGAGCCTGGCTTTGTGTGAGGTCCTTACCCAGTGACACCAAGTGGCGGTAGTTCTCCAGCATCACTCGCTTGTAGAGCATCCTTTGTCTGAGATCCAGAAGCTTCCATTCTGTCTTGGTGAAGTACACAGACACGTCCTCAAAAGACACCGGCACCTAAAACAACCCATTGCTGTGGCTTCAGGGGAATTCACCTCCGTGGGCCCCAGGATGAGCTGGTAGCGACTAAACATGGGGTGGGCGGGGCCCCTGGAGAGCTCGGCAATAGCTGTGAGGATGGGACAGGAGGAAGCGGCGGGGAGAGCCTGCTGGGGGAGATGCTGCCCACTGTCAGGGAGCCCCACTCACCTTGCGTCTGGCCATCAGGAGCATGGCTGCCATCGCAGGGGCGCAGAGACACTAATGCGGAGAGAGCCAGGTGTGAGCTGAGCCCATGCGCTGAGTGTGACCTTGTCCAGATAGGGTCCCAATCAGAGCTGCTGGGGGATAGGACTTCAGCATATCTTTTGCGAGGGGAGACACAATTCAACCCATAACACTTTCTCAAACTGAGCTTCTGTCCCCTCTCTTCACCAGACAAGGATTCTGTCTCCTCGTGCTGGGCCTGCCTAGCCAGGCTTTCAAGGGAGTGTGTTTCTTCTTTCCTTTTTCTCATTTCCTTCCTCTCTCAGCCCTCCTCCCACGTGACCAGCGCCCCAATCCTGACTTTCTAGCCATCCCTGGAAGCCCCACTGCCGCCCCCTTGCCCCCTGAGGTCGGGGTTCTTAAAGAAAAACTCCAGGGGGAGGGTGATGGTGGTGGGATGAATTGGGAGTTTGGGATTGAGATATATACACTACTGTGTATAAAATAGAGAACTAATAAGAACCTGTTGTATAAAAAAATTAAATTAAATTAAATTTAAAAAACAACAAGAAAAACTCCAAACACACATACCTCCTTCACCTGCAAACAGACTTGCTCTCAAGGAAAGAGAAAGACCAAGCTAGTGGGATGCAAGAGGGGGGGCCCCCCCCCCCCATCGCTGGGGGAGGGATAGCGTTCAGGCTGAGAGCTGCAGACTGGGGGTGAATAAAGAGAGTAGCTGGCCAATGGCATGGCCCATACCCGGCCCTGAAAGGGGCCCTAGCTGCGTGGTCATGGTGCTGAAAATTGGAGCGGGGCGAGGGGGTGGGAGGGGCAGAAGGTGAGGGTGCCCGGGGCTCACGCTAAGGCAGGAGGAGCATGTCACCAACCAAGTGGACAGAACCAGATTTCTCCACACCAGCCCTCAATGCCAGAAGACAGTGGGGCAACAGAAAGTTTGCTCCAAGGATATGTCCACCCAGCTGGCGGCCACAACACGGGAGTCACGGGCGGAGGAGTGGAGGAGGCAGGCAGTGGCAGGGGGAGGGGGGAGTGGGCGTCACGGCCTGTTTCTGCCCCAGGAGAGAGGGCAAGGGGATGGGGTCCTCAGAACAAGTTAAATCGCCCCAAATTCCCTTATCACCTGTGATGAGCTGTCAGTTAACACTGGCCCAGAATAAATAAATGAATGCATGTCTGATGGAGAAGTTTATACTAATCAGAGAGAAAGAATCTCTTAAGGTCGAATGGATGCCAAAACCATTAGGTGAAGCCTGAGCGGGAAGGGTCGGCCACATGATGTCTTCCCCGTTTACTGCTGGTCACAAGAGAGGGAGCGAACCTAATGGTGGGACAGAAGTGGGATGTCCCCTTGGTGGGGATGCCCAGGAGGGCTCTTGCCAAAGCTTGACCTGCTTCTAACGCAGCCTTGGGACCCAGCATCCAGTTTACAGAGGACCTTGGGGACAGAGGGACCAGTTAAAGGCACCACAAGGGAGGCACCCGATGCAGAAGGTGGGCTGTTCCCTGGTCTCCTCTGCAAATCAGTGTCACGGGGGAAAGAGGAGGCTGGGTAGGGAGATTGTTCTGGGTGAAAAGAGAGTTAAGGGGCCAACAGCCAAGTGCAATGGGAGTCTTTGATGAGATGCTGGCGTGAACAAAAGAGGAGTCAAAGGCATTGTGGAGAGTGGAGGGTGAGAGCGGGGCCACTGCTGCCCATGTGTTGGATGGATAGTGGCACCAGGTCATGGAAGAAAATGTCCTTTTCAAGAGACACATCGCACCATTTGGGGAGAAAAAGGCGTGTGAAGTGACTTTAAAGTGCTTCAGCAAATACAAAAGACAGAAGGAAAGAGAGGGAGGGAGGGAGCAAGAGAGAGAGTGAGAGAGAGAGAGCAAGGTGGGGCGGACCCAAGCAAATAAGGCAAGCTGGAGCTGGAGGCCACTGCTAACCCTGGGAGGTGGGTACGCAGGCTTGGTTAGACTATTCTCTCTACTTGTCTGTTTGCTTGACAGTGTTCAGAATTAAAAGGCAAAATAGCCTAGTGGTCCTTCAGTAAGTAAACAGAGTTATCATCTGACCCAGCAATTCCACTCCTGGGTATATGCTCAAAAGAATCGAAAACAGTATTCTCACAAAAATGTCCACCCATGTGAATGAACTGCAGCACAATTCACAACCGCCCAAAGGTGGAAACAGCCCAAACGTCCATCAACAGAAGAGTAGATAACAAACCATGGTCTAGACACACGATGGAATACTATTTGGCCCCAAAGAGGGATGAAATACTGATCCATGCTACCATGTGGATGAACTTAGTGTCACGATGCTAAGTGAAAAAAGCCAGACACAGGCACAAAAGGCCACATACTGCATGATTCTATTTATATGATGTAATATAATATTTCACAAGAGCTTTCTTGACCTAGTTCTGAAGTTATGACTAGAAACTCTTTCTCCTTGGCCTTCGCCAGCAGTTTGCTAAGCTTGTGAAGTTTCCCACACCACCTACCTCCCGTATCAAAGCCCCTCTCTCTGGGGCCACTAAACCCACGCCCCAAACCCTCCTTATCGGGGTCTCACACTCGGTGGCCAGGTACCAGACAACCAGGGACAGGTCTTACGCACCGGAGCCTGCGAAACCATTCAAACCGGCCACTGCCCAGGGACCCCAAGGACACTAGCTACCCCTACCCAGGTGCGCCATCCCTCGTGGCAGCTGTCCCTCCTTCTGCCTGTCTCCAGAGTGCCACTGTCCTGTGGCTCGCTATAAAAAAAACCTTTAAATCTTATAAAACATATAACATGTCCAGAGAGTCCTAGGTAAATCCAGAGAGTCAGAGAGCAGATCTGGGTGCCAGGGCCTGGGATTGGGTGGGGGTGGGGGTGACTTCTTCATGAGGACAGGGTTTCTTTTTGGGGTGATAAAAATAGCTTGGAGGTCGAAGGTGGTGATGGCTGCACAAAGTTGCAAATATACTTAACGTCGCTGTCAAGTGTTCATCCTTTTGTCCAAAGGCCAGACATGTTTCACTGGGACGCACCACCAGTCACAGGGGGGCCCTGCACCAGCTAAAGGTGTGGGGAGGGAAGAATACTGATAATAGCAAGGGTTTTTAGACTAGCATCACATTGTTTTGAAACACATCACAAGCTTGTTTTTTCTCTATCACGACTGTACTGCCAGGTCACCATCCATTTTGAAAAATACAGAAAAGCTGAAAAGAAGAGGTGTTGTTCTGTAATCCCCCATCCCAAGACACGCTGCAGTGCAAGCCCCCCAGAGAGAAGAAACTTGAGCTGTGACTGCCGAGAGAAACGCCATGGGCAGGGTTTGCCTGTAGACAGAGACCAACGCTCAAGTTCAGCACCACAAGGTGCATCGGTGGCGCCAGCCAGCGAGGTGCTCACACACAGCAGTGTCTATCCTTGAGACCTGATGCCCCAAAGGCAGCATAATTTCAAATCCTGGAAAGAGACGCGACAAGCCCTGTCCTCACAGACCCTAATGCCCGATCAGCCCCCGGGTGGTAACGGGGAGACACTCCCAAGCAGGAA